AATGAGTGGTCATGCAGAAGAGGTTAGTCAACCTAGTACTGTTATGAGACACAATTGGACACTTTTGCAATGAGTCGGTTCTCAACATTTGTGTCCTGCTAGAGCCACCCTGGTCAACTGTAAGTGAAGTGATAGTGAAGTGGAAACATCTGGGAACAAGTTCAGCTGCAAATTGGTAGCCACACAAGGGATCTGTTCACCCAACATCGATACCCAACCAGAATGGCAGCAGATCCCACCAGCAATGTTCTAACATCTAATGGATTATCTTCCCAGAAGAGCACGGGCTATTATAGCAACTAAGGGTTAGCCAGCTTCATATTAATACCCTTTGAATCAAAGTGAGATGTTAGACAGGTTGGTGTCCCAATACTTTTATCCATATATGGTATTTACTCACCTGTCAGCTCCATACAGTGTCTCTCAGGGCGCCCAAGGGCACTGTGGGACAGATGCCCCAACCTCGCTGTGCCAACATTAGCAGGAACATTTTATTGCCAGTAGGTTACAAAAGTTGGTCAAGCCTGCTGATGTAGCCCCCCCAATTATCTCTGTTACGCAAGCATGTCAAATGTCTTGAATAGTGAATTTAACAGCAGATTACAGCTCTAATGTGTGCTTTCATGGTGGTGTGGGAGCCTGGCTGGGGAGGGAGGGTTAACAAGGTCGATGAGAGGATGCGGGTGCCAGTGGAGGAAGGAAGAACCTGGCACTTCAGCCACGTGAAATGACTGTACAGTTAGCCAGTCAGAAAGCAAATGAAATACCAGATAGACAAAAAAGCAAAAGGAAACAAAGAGACATTGATAATCTATAAATGGAGCTGCCAACATTTTGCTCTCTCCTACCAGAGAGGGAGTCTATGCGGAAACATCTGATCAGATTAATGTGGAGCAAGAGAAAGACACTAATTGTTCCTCCCTCTAAAAAATTAAAACTTTATGTCTTTGACTAAGTGCAATGATCCTCTAAAACAAAACAGGAACAACAAAGACTCAAAGAGCTCTGAGGCCGGGTGCAGGCGTGCAGTGTGTGCCCCATATCCATGTGAGGGTATGCCTGTAATCCTGAGAGCTCAGGAGGGTGGCATCTGCTCAGAATGGGCTTGACAGCTCTGTCACTATAGAGAAACTATGGAAGGGACTTGTTCTGGCTTGGAGATCTAAAGCTGCCAGTACAGCGGGACTTTGAGTAACTGTCAGTCAACACCTCAAGGCAGGAATAATTGATGCCAGATCTCTTTCCCATCTCATTATTTCAGTGTTCCCTCTGATCCTTCCCATCCCCAAGCAGAGGCAGCCTTCCTGTGCTGCTTCCTGATGCCACCCTGGTCTGGCAGGAACTTGAGGTCTCATGGGCCAGTTCCAGGTATCTCTGCGGCAATCTAGGCCCCGCTTGTGAGGTGGTATGTGTCATGAGCGGAGGAGGGGGGGGGCTCCTCCACCATCACCCACACCCATCTGCTCCGAGCGGCAGGCGCCCGCACGCAGCAAGCTGTGCAGCATGGAGAGAGGAGCCAAGGTCCACAGAGGTGAGAGAGAACATTTACGGGATGATGTTCAAGCTGCGTGTGGCCCTGGTGCAGCATCCCCATCTCCTAGTCGCCCTGTTTGCTTGGGCCTGTGGTGAAACTCGGAGTTCCTTCATCGCAATGGGCTCCACCGATGGACACATTTACAGCCCCTTACAGAGTCGCACGGGCTGAAGAGATGGATCAGAACTACAGGATGTGCACATGGTGGCCTTGAAAAGAGTCTGGATCTGAAAAGCACTGATTTATCGTATCCGTGGGACCCAGAAGAACACAGATGTAACCAGATGGTGCAATCCCCTGTGTCTAAGCTGGTGTCATGGCGGTATTGAAATGAACTCAGAAAGCGAGTGCCGCTTCGAGCTTCAGATCATGCTAATTCTTTCTTTGCGAGGCACAAACAAGAGGTATGAGGAGGAAGGCAGATGATACGTAGCACTGAGGGTCTCATTAGTGCCGTCGGTGCTCTGGGAATATGAGAAACGCTTTCAATTAAGCGTAGCAAATTATTTCTCTCCTGTTTTCAATCCAAGCACTTAAAAAATATGTCATTTCCGCAGTGGTTTAATGACACCAGCTAATGCTGCAGAGAACGCCGTCCAGGATTTCTCCTGGGAATCTCACCGACGGTGGCACTGAGGCTGATTCACGAGGGGGTCTAACCCCAACCCTGCAGGGAAGCAGCTTGCTGGGTGCCATGTCACCGAGGTGTCACTTACTAAACTGTAGACAAAAGCAAACTTTTCAAGGCGTGATAGCTTCTCCATACACTGCTCAGAGGTGGCTGGTTATACAGTACGAGTTGATTCTTTATTAACCACACAATGGAGAGAGATATGAGACGGCCTCTGTGTGTGTGTGTGTATGTTTATGCATGCATTATTTCGTGATTTAAACTCTCAAACATAGATTTCTGATATCATGCCAAGCTGTCGGGAAAGCTGTAATTCTGCCGTTAGTTGTGCAGTAGTGCTGCCTCTGTAGGAGAAGTGAGGCGTGAATGAGGCACCAGCATTTACCCATTTTCATGCTGAAATTAATAAACCTGCTTCTGAGGCATCATTTTTGGCTCATTTGGGGAAGTTTCTTCTGCATCAGAGTCAAAACATTAATGGACCTTGTGCGGCCCGTGGGCCGTGGCAGAAGCGCTCATTTGCATATCCGCTCGCTCGGCATTACGTGTTTTATGGAACGATGGCTGAAGACGGGCATGATTCATATCTCACCGTCTTCCAGCAAGCATACATCAGGTTCCATGGAGGTCTGCTGCCAGTTTTTTTTTTCTGCTGTACCCTGGCATGTATTTTAAATGCCGCAGTGTGAATTAATGGCACAGGCTGTTCACGTTGGATGTTAGGGCCGGAAGGCCTTTCTGGCTTGGGTCTGGATGCCATGCTGGGTTCCCTAGCAGAAAATTCCCCGGTCCCCCCAAATACATTTCTCCCTTAATGTTTGACAAAGCAGCGTGCAGTGTTTGAGCAAGCGACGAGAACACCAAGGGAAAAGGGAAGATTCTTAAGCAAGATGTTCCTCATCTACCTCATCAGCATCTCTGAGTTTATTTTTTTTACGAAGCTTCTGCCAGGATCTCACCATGATGACATTTAAGCCCAAAGCACCTCCCTCGCTGATCTGCATGGCTGGTCCTTCGCTACACTGTCTGCTTCCTCGTTGTTGTTATTTTCACACACCGGACCACTGACAAGGTGTAAATAAAGAGACGTCAGCGGGTAGCCTTCTGTCATTGGTTGCCTTTAAAACATTCCAGTCATGACCTCACTTCTGGGTGCAGATGGAGGGAAACCTGTTACAGTGACGGGGGCCTCCTTCTTTGGGAATGTTCTAGCTGGAAAATAATACTCGGAAATAACGAGAAACCATGAAGGTATCCGCATACTTCAAACAGCGTCCAGACAAAACGAAACCGAATGTCGGCGAACACAGCATGTTTCATACTTATTCATTCTGTGTCATGCCACAAAACTAGAGGGCGCGAAATGTTTTTGATGCAGTGGTCCCACATATAACGTGGGAAAAAAATGTGTCATCCAAAAACAAACATGGCAGTGGTGATGGAGCAGATCCGAGATAGGTAATTTGCACACCATTAAAATCTTGACGTGAGCTGTCGTATAAATATGGGTGCAAAAGTTCAGCAACTCTTCCTTCGAAGGCATTCAAAAGCTTTTTGTTTTTACATCCATGAACCTTGCAAGGCATTAGTGACACCAGAGACCCTCACATTTTGTGTAACCAATCGTGGACAGCATCGGTGGGATCAGTGGGTTCCCTGAATCAGCGATCACCACTCACTCAGAGTGTTGCTTAGGGATTGTAGTTTGTTGTTAGTGACTGTGTCACATACCCTCTCCCCCCCAGTGATGACCATGATAACTGTCTAGTGCTATTAAAAAGAGTGGTGTTGAATTATTAAACAGATCATGCAGAAGAGCAGGGATCTGATTTGCGCTTGGTGATTACCCTGTTGACGTTTCTGACTGTATGTGCTGATGGGCATCCGTTGATTGGTCTTTTTATATTTCCTACATCATCATGTGAAGGGAGTGGCTATGTTAACATGGTTGTATCATTAACTCCTGATTGACAACACGCTGTATGTTGTCTGGACTGTGTCATGGAGGTACAATTTAAAGAATTTGTTTTAATTTTAAGACCAGTCTCCCAATCCCAGCTTAACGTGCATGCCAGCTTTAAACATCGGTAACGTTCCAAAACACTAGTCCCTGAAGTCGGCGTGTAACAGCCTGAGAAAATGCACGGAAGTCTCCGTATTGACTGGGCAGCTGTAGCAGCAGGCTTTTCTGAGTGTGAATGAGCCAAGTGCATAGCTGTGAATCCACTGGGTCTGTCCACAATGAGCTTCTCTTCTCCAGGGTCTCGTTGGGTTAAAAAATAGTAAAATTTGATGGCTTGCTGTGTGCAATTGCCTTCTACAAGACGAAAACAGAGCAGCATGACTGTGTGAGCTCCATAACGACTATGGTGCGTAATTTTCCCTCCTCTGCCAGGTACTCAGGCCCTAATTATTCTCTTCCTCCAGATACAAAATACTTTTCTGGAGGTGGGGGGATTGACTTCTTCTTCCTCCCTCCCCCATCCCGGTTTCCCAGCTTGGCACTTTATCAAAGCCCCCCCTCATCCATTGCCCTGAAACGGGGCCTCTGTGTCCTGGAATCCTGGGTGTTTATCTGCTTGACTTATTAAATTTGTGTTTTTTTTTTTCCCTTAACTTTCACTTTAAAATTACATCATCCTTGAAACATTAGTTATAATAATGTGAATAAAATGGTAGTGAAGTGATTTGATTGGGTGAGAGTTTGTGTAGAGGCCGGCCTACCCACTGGGGTCTGACGTGTTACACCCCAAAGCGTGAGGTGGTACTTTGGCGGTTAGCGTGAGGCTAATCGCGCATTAGCCCGCATCACGTCACATTCTCTCTCTGTTTCAGAGCTGGGGTGGCCATGCCGTTCAGCTGTCTCACGTTCGGGGACAAGAAGGATTACAACAATCTGGCAGAGGTCACCGACAAATATGACCTCGGCCAGATCGTTAAATCGTAAGTATCTCAAATTTGTATATTTTACAAAACGCATGATGCGCAAGGACAACTTATGTTTCCTCTTTTACAAAAAGCTAGGCCATCCTGGGAATAAATATTATGTTATTATTTTTACTTAAAGTAGTGAATGTAAAATATGAATTTTGGGAATTGTATATAATAATCCGAGTTTTATTAGATTGAATCTCATCTTGTGAAATCCAACAAGTATTATAATTAAGAAATATGGGCCAAGTGTGTTTTATATTAGTTACTGTACATCAAATTTATAATATTTGATTCTAATACATTAGGATTTCTCTAGAAATGGGCTCCCAGAATAGTTTTATTATTAATTATGAATTATTCTGCTCTGTCACCAGCATATTCCTTTATTCATTCTGTACTGGTGTCAATATTTAACAACTGATGTATCATATCTAGCGAGGAGTTCTGTGAAATTTTCCGAGCGAAGGACAGGAACACGTTGAAAATGTACACCTGCAAAAAATTCCTGAAGAAAGATGGAAGGAAAGTCAGGAAGGCGGCCAAGAATGAAATCTTCATCCTGAAGATGTGAGTCACTTACCCCACTCAGAGTTATTTGGCCATTTCTGTTTGCACTTTACATACAGATTTTTGAAGGTCCCGTTGTCCTGGGCCATAATTGCACCAACACACCTGGAAAAGTAGACTTTCCTTCACATTATTTACTAGGTAAATATCTTGCTTGTGGCTACTTTATTCAATAGATTCAATTGCCGTGAGATCTGAGATAAGTTTTACGCCTGCAGTACGGGCTGGAGGCTCTGCTTCTAACTGCTGCAATGCAATTCAACAAAAATTAACTCCGAACAACCTGCATCCGTGATTAGCTTGGTCAGCGATGCTTCAGAACGATTGCTTCTTGGTTATGGAACGTTGTGCTTTTTGTGAGCATTAAAAAAAAAATTAACAGGATCTCACAAAAAGTGAAAGCACAAAGAAGCTGTGGATGCGTTAAACCTCAGGCAAACTCAGAAAGAGTCGAGATGGAGCACCTGTATGGTGGCAAGGTCTCCATCACTTTGGCCCCATTTACCCTGTACATCCACATAGCGTATGGAAAATTCTTGTAGCCTCAGGAACAGCAGTAGGTGCTGAAAGGTCATGTTTGATCTGTGCCTCAGTGTTTTACTCTTACAGACCTCATTTCCACATTAGCATAGTCTCATCGCAAATAAAACAAACAAATAAATAGACAAATATCTGTGTATGGGTTTTACAAACAAATATAAATAGGACTTTGATAGCAGCCCAGTGTTGACATATTAAAATTATTTTAGCCTTTATCTAGAGAGATGCACAACATTAAAGTTCAGTAAGACTGGGGCACTTTTATGACGACTGCATGTGTCAGTTGCCTTCCTGTGATTCAATCAATTTGCCTAAGACCGAGTTTCTTAAGTACAGGACAAGCTGCTCTCCTATCATCCCGTTAATATAACGTTAACAGAGACCAGCTACTTTATTGATCCAAGGCAATTTAGGCCACTTGTCTTGTCACATCCTACTACATAATTTATAAAAAATGTTTTATAAATTTCTTTAAAAGAGTATAACTTCTGTGAAAATCATTTTCATTCTAAATCTAAATACTTCATATTTCGTAAATGGGACAATCTCTTGGGTTTTGTAAATCCTTCCCATTGTTTTCTCATCACCTTCTGCTGTTCTCAGGGTGAAGCACCCCAATATTCTTCAACTTGTTGACGTCTTTGAGACCAGAAAGGAGTACTTCCTCTTCCTTGAGCTGTAAGTTCCTGATTGGCTGACAATTTTCTTATATTTCTTCTCCTTCTGGGGGGATCTCATTTTCATCTTCAGTCCAAACTGATCATTTACTGCAAATGTATTTTGTTTGTGCATTATTTGCATCACTGTCCTTACACCTGTATAAAGAAAGCACACATAGACACAGCATGTGTTTATATAATGGGTGGAAGCCAAACTACCTAACTTACACATACCAATGAAATGGAGCCTTCAGTGTGATGATGCCAGACCCTCAGCTACCACTTCAGCCTAACTGCAGTACAGGTTTATTAATCCATTCAAGTTCAGTAATGAAGCCCCAGCATCTTTTGACTTGCTTTTCATCTGCAGGGCTACAGGCAGAGAGGTCTTTGACTGGATCCTGGATCAAGGCTACTACTCCGAGCGGGACACCAGCAATGTTATTCGACAAGTGATGGAAGCTGTGGCTTATCTGCATTCGCTCCATATTGTTCACAGGAACCTAAAGGTATGAGAGGTGCATTAAGTACCACCTGGTGGTGGAAAATTGAACTGCATTTCAAATGTACTGTATCCTTATTTCAATCCCATGACAGCTTGTATGTGAAATTCTGAAATAATTAGCCATGTTCCTGTTAAGTGTGTCCGTGCAAATAAAAAAATGACATAACTATAAAATAAGACTCAGCTCTGTTGGACAAACAGAGAAACCCACCACATAATTTTGGATGAGAAATTGTTTTCATTTTGGTATTTTAATTAAATCAGTGAACTGGATAAAATAGATGAAGGTAGCTTCATTAACACCTCCACTCTTTCAGCTTCTCTGCTTCTCTGTTGCAGCTGGAGAACCTGGTGTATTACAACCGTCTGAAACACTCAAAAATTGTCATCAGTGATTTCCACCTGGCCAAGCTGGAGAATGGCCTCATCAAGGAGCCATGTGGGACCCCTGAGTACCTTGGTGAGAAAAGGGCGGGGCTTACTGAAGGCAATGAGGGCGGGGCTTACTGAAGGCACTGAGGGCGGGGCTTACTAAAGGCACAGAGGGCGGGGCTTACTGAAGGCACTGAGGGTGGGGCTCATGAAGACACTGTGGGCGGGGCTTATTGAAGGTACTGAGGGCAGGGCTTTCTGAAGATACTGAGGGCAGGGCTTTCTGAAGGTACTGAGGGCAGGGCTTACTGAAGGCACTGAGGGCTGGGCTCATGAAGGCACTGAGGGCAGGGCTTACTGAAGGCACTGAGGGCGGGGCTTACTGAAGACACTGAGGGCAGGGCTTTCTGAAGGTACTGAGGGCAGGGCTTACTGAAGGCACTGAGGGCTGGGCTCATGAAGGCACTGAGGACAGGGCTTACTGAAGACACTGAGGGCAGGGCTTTCTGAAGGCACTGAGGGCAGGGCTTTCTGAAGGCACTGAGGGCAGGGCTTACTGAAGGCACTGAGGGCAGGGCTTAATGAAAGAACTGAGGGCAGGGCTTATTGAAGGCACTGATGGCTGAGCTTACTGAAAGAACTGAGGGCGGGGCTCATGAAGGCACTGAGGGCGGGCTTACTGAAGACACTGAGGGCGGGGCTCATGAAGGCACTGAGGGCAGGGCTTACTGAAGGCACTGAGGGTGTGGCTTACTAAAAAAACCGAGGGCAGGGACGCTTGTTATCAAAGGGGAGAACAATTAACTATGTATATAGCAGAGATATTAAATAGCTTGCGTTTAATAGGGGTAGGGGGAGTTTACAGGAAATTAGCTCTGGGATGGAGGGATATCTTCAATAATACCCCCCCCCCCCTTTCCCCAGCACCTGAGGTGGTGGGCAGACAGAGGTATGGCAGGCCAGTGGACTGCTGGGCCCTGGGGGTGATAATGTACATACTGTGAGTAGCCAGTGCTGAAGAAGAGCATTAATGCAACCTATTCACAACATCGATGCAACGTGTACTATCAGCGTAGAGATGTCCATGGGACAGTGAGACAGCACCCTGACCTGTACCCATTGCACCCAGGCTGTCCGGAAACCCGCCCTTCTACGACGAGACAGATGATGATGATTATGAGAATCACGACAAGAACCTTTTCCGGAAGATTCTGGCAGGGGACTATGAGTTTGACTCTCCATACTGGGACGATATCTCAGACTCAGGTAGGAGACCCTTGGTTATTTTAGAAAGTGTCTAAGGAAGAGGCTCGTCATGCTGGTGGCACATATTAATGACAGCTAGTGGACACCAGGGGAATTGCCTAAGCTAATGACGTTGGCTAGACTAAGGACTGCGCTTGTGTTTGCCTCACAGCGAAAAGTTTAGTAGCTCGTATGATGGAGGTGGACCAGGACCAGCGTCTGACTGCTCAGGAGGCGATCAATCATGAATGGTACTGAATCATGCATATTTAGTAGCATATATCCAGTCAGTTTGGCCATTTACTGTGCTGACATGTAGTGCTAGTAACTGATGCTGCCAGATCGAGACATTCTATATCAGTGTTTCCCAACCTGACCTATATTATTCACAGAGTGCCCTGTAAGGATTCTATTTAACTGTTGTCCTCACAGGATCTCTGGAAATGCTGCCTCTGACAAGAACATAAAGGATGGTGTTTGTGCACAAATCGAGAAAAACTTTGCCAAAGCCAAATGGAAGGTAAATCCCCCC